AATTTAAAAAAAGAAAAAGCTTTGAAACTATGCATGGCAACGAATGTTAACTAGACTTATTGTGGTGATGATTTTACAATATATAGAAATATTGAATTATTATGTTGTATATTTGAAAGTAATATAATGCTATATGTCAATTTCATCTCAATAATTTTTTTCCTAATCTTAAATAACAGCATTTCTAATCTTAAATGAGATTAATGGAATTCACTTGTAACACATGGTGTGAGGCCTTTCTTCACTTTATTTTTGAAATAGAATCTGTCAGTATTCCTCATAATGCAAAGAAATCTGAAAATGTGAGTTTTAAATAAAGATTCCATAAGCTTAGGTCTAAATTTTGAGACTCACAACTTCAAGCAGTACTAGAACTTTATTTTTCGTATTAGTATTCTCTCCCTTGGTATTTTTCCATTAGAATCATTTCTAGCTTAAGAAATTCTAAATCACTTTGCAGTTCCAGACTAAAATAGAGCAGATGGTCTTTTCTTCTGTCTTCATTCAACTAAAAACCCTGCACATTATATATAAAACAGTCATAAGAAGACCAAAAGATGGAAAGAAGAAGCATACTATTGAGGACCTTAAGACACAAGGAATGACACATTGTGAATTTCGTGATTTTCCTTTTTGCGCTATATATCCCAGATTATTTGCTAGAGAAGCCAGCAACCTGGAAATATCAACAAAAGCACACAATAAAAATCCCATCAAAAGTCATCTCTTTGTAGCTAAAGTACAGGAAAGAGGAAACTTAGCAAGGCGTAAAACTTTTAGATAATAGCCAAACTACATCAACCAAAAGCTCCATCTCCATTCTCACCAGTAAAGGCCATGTGGTGACCCCAGACTTCATCTTCTCCAGGCTATAATGAGGTGTTCCAACCACTGCCCCCCCCCACACACACACTGGGGTGGTGTCAAAAAACGCTGAATGGGGAGCCCTGACATTCATACCTGCTCAGAAATAATGTAGCCCCATGGGAATTACGAACATCCATCCCAACCCAGCAGTAACAAGGCAGTCTCCAACCTCTCATTGTGGTAATGTCACTGAGAGGACCAAGAGGAAAGCTGGAACTTTCAACATTACCCAGAAACAATAGGCCTCCCCTCAGCTTACAGTGTCAATTGAGAGAAATGGGGAACAGTAATGAGGTACCCCTCCTCATCCTAGCCAGAATGTATTAGGCTAGTGGAGAACCTGCTCCCCTCCATCTGCCCATCGGGAGCAAGGAAATCTGTCTTCTGAGGCAGCAAACAGGTCAAGGGGGTAACTTGGACTTCCACCACCCACCTGGCTCTAATAAGGTGGCACCTCTCCTTGCCCCACCAGTGTGGTGTCAGAAAAAACCTGTTATAACAAAAGATTTAAACAATGTCCACAGTCTTACAATAGCCAAAAATGTCCAGGATATAGCCTAAACCACACATCCTTCCAGGAACCAGGATAATCTCAACCTAAATAGGAAAAGACTTGCTAAACTTACTAAACAGATGATAATCTGAAGAAACCCATGCCAGTACACATCATAAACTTCAAAAAACTAAGAAGAAGAAAAAAATATTAAAAGTAGAAGGAAAGAAATCACAACTTATCTGTAGTGAAGAAGCAATTTAAATAATGGTGGGTTCCACAGAGGCCAGAAGGGAGTGGCACAATATTTTCCAAGTGCCAAAAAACAAGAACTGTCAATCTAGAATCCTATACCCAGTGAAAATATCCTTCAGGCATGAAGCGGAAATCAAGATTTTTCTCAAATGAATAAACACTAAAATAATTTGTTTTCGGGTAGACCTACCCTAAAAGAATTGTCAAAGGGAAGTTCTTGAAAGAGGGAAGAAATGATATAAAGATCCTTAGAACTTCAAGAAGGAAGAAAAATAGAAAGGGCCAAAATATGAGTAAATACAATAGTTTCCTTCTTGTTTTTAGTTTTCTAATTTATGTTGACAGTAAAAGCAACAAACATAATGATATCTGATGTGGATCTTGATACATGTAAATATTTAAGACAATTACACATAAGAGAAGGGAAAATTTAAAAAATGGTAAGGCTTCTGTACTTCACTCAAGCTGGTACAATGATGGCACCAGGAGATACCTATGGTGATGGAATAGTACTGTATCCTGGTTGTGATGTGGTTAGAAAAATCTACACATGTATTAAAATGGCATAACTATCACACACGTTCCTGGTTTTGACATTGTACCAAGATAAGATGTAACCATTAAGGGAAACTTGGGAGAAGGTCATTGGAACCCCTCTGTATGACCTTTTCAACTTCCTGTAAATCTACAATAATCTCAAAAGCTAAAGAAGAAATGAGAAGAAAATCTAAGCTTACTGTGTTTAGCAGCCTAGACCTTAACTAGTCTTATGATAACGTACTACCTGTGTCTTTTATCACTGTTTCGTCAGTTAAGTGTAAAATGAGGTGCTGCAGGGTAGGAAGGGGGTAAGAAGAAGTAACTTCAGAAGAGCTTCTCTTGTTTAACTACCAGTGAAGATATACCAATATTTGTGGCTAAACGAAATGTCTACTGTCTCTTTTCTTTACACCTTGCTAAATAAATAAAATGGAGGGAGAGAGGAAGAGAAAACTTAGGAACGAGGAAATGATATAAAGAAAGCAGAAAATACAGCACCATCTTAATTCTGGAAGGACTAAGTAAGCATTGGCACACCGTTCATATATTTTACTATTGCATTACTTTTATTGAGTTACAAATTTCAGGAATCTTCAGGAATGTATTACACTAGAGTCTCAAATGGCATCTGAGAATTCTATTACCCCTTTTAAATACTATAAATCCTGACATTTTATATTACTGACTTTTACTTCATTGAAAACTGTAACTACACTTAAAAAACACAGCTAATTGATCCATCTGGACAGTTCAGGTCGTTTTTCTCCATCTTCACTTATTTTCATTAATTTTTATATTATTTCCCTGTCTCTGCCCCTTCCCCATCACGGAAACATGGCCTTCATTAAGAAAAGTCCTTCTTGAGTCAATGGGGTCAAAACTTACTGTGACTAAAGGTTAAAAAAAATAAATATTTCTACACCCTAAGTTTGAAACCACAGGCATGCCCAGAGAAGAGGAAATTACCAATCAGGAATTTCTCTCAATCTCAGGGTGACTTCACCCCTCTTTGGAATGGCCTGAATTCTCCAACTCCTTTCTTAGATGGAGTTGGTCTCTTGAACACGTACGAACAGAAATACTTGTAAGAAAAATCTCAACTTTTATTCAACGTGCCTGAGGATGTGTTTTGATATTCACAGAGAAACTATTTAATTTCTTATTTAAAAGTCTCTCACTAGATTTCTTTTTTCACATGTAAGAAAGGTGGGACCAGGGTGTAAATTCTGGTCAGCTGATGCAAGGATGCAGCCAGCCCTTTGAAGTGTAACCACCGAAGTGCCCACTCCAGGCACCTCTTCTCAGTGGATATATTCTAAAAAGAGTCTCAAAAAGATTAAGAGGAATGACAAGATCAACTAATCTCCTCCCCTCGCCTCGGGCCCCTATCTCAATAATGGCACCACCACAACCTGGTAGCCCTAGACAAAAATCCTGGTTTTTCAATCACTGATTTTTACCAGTTCTACTTCTGATGTAACACTGTTTCTTCTCCCAATACTATTTCCACTGCCAATACTCTCTTACTTAAAATACAGGCCCATTGTGATCTCCACACATTCCATTCACTACCCCACCTCAACCCCATCTTCTGTAGAGTGACGCTAACAACACATCTACCTTATCCCCTCAAAAACTCCTCCCAGGCTTCCTTTTGCCAAATGTACAGTCCTAACTCTTTTATATACCTTTTGCAATTTATTTGTCTAAATTTGAAAAGAGGTCAAACCTCTCCCTGGAACTTAGAAAAAAATAAGGAGAGAGAAAAAAAACAAGGACTCTTAATTTCATACCTTTCAACCTCTGTTAAAAAACCCACTGACATCATGAGGTTCTATATTCACAGCTACTTAGATAAACATACTCCAGGCACTCCAAAGATAGAGGAACAAATCATACTGTGCTATGTGATTAAAAAATATAAACTATATCCACTTCCAAACATCATTAGGTATCAGATCCTGTCCACTTTAAATACATATTTCTTTCATCTGAATGCCTACACTACAGACCTCAGATACAGTAACATCCTTGAACTGTAGACTGACAGAAACCAATATGACCAGATGAGAATAAATCCCCTCAAATTTTCAAGCTTCATCCATTGTTTAGTTTTTACAAACGATATGGCTATTACAGTCAGAAATTATACATATAAAGTTATGCAATCGCAGACAAGTTTATATCACACCATCTATAAACTGCCTCGTTCTTCAAGTCCTTGCATTTCAATAAGTAGAATATTTATTTTCTATCTATGCAGTCACCAAAAACTCAAACAACAAAAGAAAACTATTTTTTAAATATCTCCTGTTCAGAATTTTTGCCATTATGTGCAGCTCTAAACATGCTCCTAGGACTCAGGTGAAAAAGGCACTGCTTCCTGAGTATCTATAGAAGTGGAAGAATTTGCAGAGGATACTTGCTGCTAATATCTAGGCGGGAACTCCCGATCTAATAATTTAATTTTTCTTATTCAAAGACAGCTGTGTCCATCAACACGTACCTTATTTCCAAAGCACACGACATCCCGTTTTCAAGGACTAAGATGAGTCAAGTCTTTCAAATATTTGATGAGTAGACAGAAGGAAACCCCCTTATTTTTTTCTCTTGGTCAGTAAACAAACCCAGAGAGAATAGCTTTCCAGCATGTTGAAGATGCTCTGGCAGATCATTAATCCCAGAAAAATCTCTCCAAACTTACTGATGCGTGGATTCCATTTTCAAATTTCTCATTAGTTCCTCTTTATGGATTAAATGCTGATGTTCACGAGTGAATGCACACAGCTTCAGCTGATGGATGTAATTGGGTTGTAATGGATTTTAGCTGCTGTTCCTTCTGATCTAGCCAATTTGAAATGCAGTATCAATGTATTCTCCCCGTCTCTCGGTAGGGAATGAGAAATTGAAACCTACAAGATGAAATTTATCAACTTTCATAAAGTCAGCTTCAACCATCATAAAACTGTTAAACTTCTCATTATCATTCTACCGCCGTTATTTCTCGAACTCTGGTCTAGCAGTCAAAATATTAAAGTGTATTTGGAATAAGTAGAGTTGATCCTTCAATATTCTGTGTGTCCTCAACATTGATTTAGGTGCTGTAAATAGTACCAAGTGAAGATGACATTAACACAGCAAAATTTAACACCAGAATCATAAAATGACAAGAAAAGATTTAAAGGTTGCAAAACCTTGTGCAATTTTATATTTAAAAACATGATTTGCAGCTACACTAGGTTCAATAACAAAGATTGCATGTTTCAGAGTCTCAAACATTGCTACTTGAGCTGTTCTTCTGGTGTTGGATTTCTCTTGGCATCTAGTGACAAATGGGAGACATGGATTGGGGAGAATCTAAGTTGTTAGCTGTCCCGGTCACCCTTCATTTTCTACACGTGTGTGTGTGTGTGTGTGTGTGTGTGTGTGTGTGTGTGTGTGTGTTTCAAGTCCCAACCAGTATTTTCCTGTAGTTATTATATATTCAGGAGCACTATAACAGTGAGGTCAAAATTTAATTGAGCTCAACTAGAATGAACTTCCCTTTTATCACAAATAGTGTAAAACAGAAGATACAGTGAAACAGCTATTAAGAATTTTTAGTGAAGAGTATCATGGGAAAACAATCTCCTATTCCTATCAACCTTAAGCCCTCTTTTTAAATTAACATAGAAATTCAAGGTTCTCATACAATCCTAAAGTTTACTTAAATAATGCAAAGAACACTGTAAAACACCACTAGATATTTACACACCACTTTTATTTTACTCTACAGAGACAAGTTATCACTGATAAAACCAGAGTGCATAGGCTAGATAGAGAGATAGAGAAAAAAATATTATCTGGGTCTTACCAGCCGCATCTCTGAGTTTAAACATTTTTTTTGGACTGTGCATGTTATGAAAGCATAGACATGCAACTATTTTTTGGGTTCCTAACTTAGCCAGCTAAAGTGATACACTTATGAAGAAATAGAAACCATTTATATCTTACTTGCTTTTCACAAATAATACTAATTAGTACATACATTTCATTTAGCATCTTCAAACCACTTGACAAACATTAAGTAATTAATTAATTAAAGAGAAGACCATGATGAGCTTAATTGGAATCTCCCCAAGGACACTCAATACTTCTTGGTTCAAACAGGTTTTGAAATAACAAGAATAACCTTTCTTGTGATATTTGACTGCCAGTTCGAGCCAGGAGAGTACCTGGGTGCATGACAATTAGATGTTTTTAAAAAGGTCAATCGGATTTTGTGTAACCTCCAAAATGAGAGGTTAAATTTTTTCTGATATTTTCCTCTCTCTCTCTTTCTCTCCCTCCTTCCCTCCTTTTATTCTCTCACTCCCCACATATACACACACCTACGCATACACAATCAGCTTAATATGCTAAATAAAAATCCTTCTTCCCACCCAAAAAACCACATCTAGAACCAAATTTATCACTAATAATGTTATGTTAACTTCCAACCAAACCTATACGGGAAGGCATCATTTTAAAGAAAAAAAAAATCACTTGATTCACTCCTATAAATTAATATTAAAACCGGGAGTTATAGATACTAGATAATAGAAAATCCCTTCCTTTTCTCCCTGTAGGAAAGAAATTAACTCAGAGCCTTAATTTGTTTTTCTGCCAAGGAGAGAGGCCTTTCTATTGACAAAAAGCAAAATTTAATTTCTTTATCATTTATTGTTTTTATTTGTACCTGATTTAAAGGCCTAATATAAAATAACCTTTCTTATTGGAAAGAACCTCATTTCAAACATGATAAAATCTCAGAGAAAAAATAATATATGAATTTTCAGAGCTATTCTATAAACCTGTTGCTATAGTGTCATCATGTCATGTGGACTCATCAAGGTGACTCGCTAAAGCAATGTAACAAAGAAGGTAAACCCCACAACACTTTCTTCTTCATTCTATAATCTTCTCTCTCAGTAACGAAAGACTTTCAAAGAGAAGAGAGTAAGATAGATCTATGTTGCATGTGACAAATTCTTTGATCTGATCATAATTCAAAGTCTAGAATTGCCTTTGTAGACAGTATTTATACTGCTTTAAAAAATCCAATTCAATACTAAATATTCACCAATTATTTTTGATTAAGAAACAGTATTAGCTAGCCTGACCACCCATCCTATTATTTACACTTGGTGAAATTGGTTTTGGCCATTTCTGAAAATCAACTCCCTCAGTCAGAAGTTGCAGGTTGCTATGGTTAGGCAGAAATAATTAAAAGAAAAGTGTGCTTGGTGCTCTGAGAATAATTCCAAAAGAGGATCTCAAAAGCAAAATGATGACACAGAAGTACTTAGATATGCTTATATTTCGGTGGTTTTATAAAGAGAATCTAAATAATTTGGGGAAGTTTTATAAACACTTACTCTAATGATATTGTCTCTTCTCAGAAAACTATATAAATTTACCCCTCCAGCTAATAATCTACAGTTTGCATATCCTGGCCATCATACAGGATTCCCTGTTTTATCTCGGAGATCTGAAGACTTGTTTCATACAACTGGCTCCATATACAGGGTTGAAGGCCAAGTAAAGGATCATTGACTTCAGTTCAGTTCATGAAGCCTGTGTCATTCAGATTCCATGGGCACCCAGTGAATATTCATCTGGAGTTTTAAAAACAAAGTTAGTTCATTACATGGAAAATGCAACTCAATGGTATTTGATTTTTCTATATTTAAAAAAAAGATCTGGGTTGATTTATTTGGGGTGCCAGGATGCTTTCTGTACTCTTTAAAACTAGCAATGGGGGCACCTGGGTGGCTCAGTCATTTAAGTGGGTGACTCTTGGTTTTGACTCAGGTCATGATCTTGTGGTTGGTGGGATCGAACCCCACAATGGGCTCTGCTCTGACAGCGTAGAGCCTGCTTGGGGTTCTCTCTCTCTCTCCCTCTCTGTCCCTCCCCTGCTCTCTCTCTCAAAATAAATAAATAAACATTTAAAAAAATAAGAAAAAAATAAAACTAGCAATGAAAACAAAAAAGACTCTTCTCTAGTGGGATGTCTGCATTACATTACACATTACAGAATGTGCCTGAGAGAGAGAGTAAAGCTGAGGCGAGTAAAGGGAGAGCTAGAGGTGATGGTGAGGCTATAGGGACGGGGGTGGTCCAGGAATCAGATGGAAACCCTCATCAGTTTTTCACCCACAATGTAAACTTGAAGTGGGCAACATTATTATGGTCAGTTACTACAAAATTAGACAGAAACACCAAAAGCAAAGAAAAGAACCAAAAAGGAGGACACGCCTGGGTACGGTGTTTTGTTGTTTTGTTTTGTTTTGTTTTGTTTTGTTTTAAATCTGTCCAATCTCCTTTAGGCATAAGTCTCCTCTCCACAAGGTTACTGGAAGAATAAAATAAGGGGAAAGATGGATGAATACATTTAAAAACAGTTTACAATGGTAAATGGGTTTTTTTCCCCCTGACTTTTTATTGTCCTCCTGTCTTCTAGAGGTTAGATTGTTCTAGGCTGGTGAAGCTTCCCTGCTTTAGAGCCTCTCTTTCTCTGCTAACTTAGACCCAGTCAGTCTCTGCACAAAGGTGATTAGTATTTCGTGGGCATCCAGTGAATAGTCATCAATTTGTACAGATGAAATTATTAGCTTGTGTGGCTGGGAATCAGGTTCTTGCTTTTTTTTCTTTCCTACTCCTAAATATGTAATTTAAGAAGTTCTAAACTAATTATCCAATTTCAGCCAATACGAGGTCTAAATTTCATAGCCTTATTATCTTTATTATAAGGCTCTTCAGTCCCACTTCAAAGGCAGTTAAAAGATTGGCATCACTAAATTATACAGCAAGGACACTTTGCACTAAACTCTTTTTATGATCCTCAAAACTGAACCTGATTTTCTTATCTGCCAGATTATGCAAAATTAATCAATTCTTTGAAATAGCAGTGAGATATTGTTTCCTTCAGTTAAGAAGAATGATTCAAGGGAATAGAACTGATGTTTCACTATGTTTATAGAGTAAAATGTGAGGAGGATCCAGAGGGATAACAGAATCCTAAATTCTGCTTCTTACTGCCTTTCTACTTGATTTATAGACAATCTCTAAGTTTTCCTGGTTGGCGGGGGGCTGGGGGGGTAGGGAATGGACAACTTTGATGGGAAAAAACAAACAGAATCTCTTTCAGCTTCCAAGAAATTCCTCAAAATAATACAGCACCAATAGTGAGAACACCATCTGGTAAGTGCATCGGACATTCAGTGACTCACATCATGTTTGCCACAACATACATACGTGTGCCCAATAAATATACTTTACATATTTTTAGCCTTTGACCAAATCCGAGCTCTCCCATTCTTTCTAGTCAATACCACCTTCTCAACCTGTCTCCCTTTCTCTTTCACACACACACTCACACATACAATTCCTTATTCTTCATATTTGGCCACAACTCTCATTCCCTGATCTACTTAAGTATATATAAACATACAGAAATAAGGCCCTCTATGATTAAAGAAGAAAGGAGAAACCACCAAGAAACATCGGCAAAAGTGTTTATTGTTAGTATTATTACTTTAGTTGTGTACTTCATTCTTGTCCCTTTAGGTCATGAGAGCCATTAATCCAGACTGCCAGCCAGCACAGAAATTCAGAAGAAGAGATTGGAGGATTTTGATCCAAATCCTTTTAGCCCTGAGAACACCAATAAACAACCAAAATATCTGCCCTCATGGAGTTTTGTTTTCTAGTGAGAGAAGACAGAAAATAAACAATAGACAAAATAAATAAGTTAAACATTATACTATGTTCGAATCTAACTGTTAAGGAAAACAGAACCGTGTAAAGGGGATTGGGAGTGTCAAGGGCTGCCTCATGAGACAATGACAATGAGCAGTCTTGAAAGAAGACAAAGAGGAAGGCATTGGAT